GGACTGAACATTTTGTTAAGTTTGAGTTGGATTTTGCACTGATCTTGAAGATTTGACTGCCCTTTGTCTACTAAATCTTCTCTAAGGTGGTGCAACACTGCCCCTAGAATCTGTTGAAACCCTCTATCCTATTCAAGGGCAATTCCCCGTCATATGTCTTGGTTGGTGGCACCAAAAGCAATTGTTGGATCCAAACAGACACTCACTTTGTGAGACCTTACACACTAGTTACACTTCTTGGCTTCAAATTGGGTTCTAATGCTGTTGGATTTGACCTTCTTAGCATCTCTATTTCCGGACTGAAAGGACTACGTGCCTTGAGAGCCGTGATGAAATTTAGATCCCTCTGAATTTCTCCTCTTCTAAAAGTCCCTTCTCTGCGTAGTTTCTAAATCCAGCTCAATCATTCTGGCCATCTCCACGAAAACAGAATAATCATCGATCCCAAAAGGAATTAATGTCTACAATCATATCCTTCAATATAGACTAAAACCTGTCACACTTCTTCTCTGCATTTGGAATCAACTAGGGCAAATGCTTTGAAATTGGTAAATTTTGCCTCGTATTGCATTAGTGAACGATTACCTTGTACCATTCGGATAAATTTATATGCATATGTCTCATGGGTCACAGTAATATGAATTAGTCTCTAAAAGTGTTCACAAGCGTGTCCCACTATATCATGTGGCTGGCTCTACCCCCATGTTTTTTTTCTGAAACTGCCCTCACTACCATCTCTTTACTCCTCCCTTTATTGCAAAAGTGGTCAGAGTAGCCCTCCTTGCTGGAGGATAAAACAACTCATCTAAGATCTTTTACACTCTCAGCAATCAGTTCTTAACATCCACCGGACTTCTCTCATATCCTGAAATAGCTTCAAGTATCTGTCCATCTGGCCTCCTCAACTAGATTTGACCTGAGTTTAAGAATTTTTAATCATCTGAGTTACTGCAATGATTATCTTTGTTAAAATATTTCTGTTGTGTTCACAGAAATTTGTGGAGGCGCATTAACTTCAATCACAACATTTCGAGCTTCTCCTTGATTATCCATATTTCTGAAATAACATAAAAAAGATTATAATTATATACAATTTAACCATTCATTAAAATTATTTATGAACTAACTTAATCAATCTAATGACTCTTTTTGATCATTTGATCCCACCTAATTGACTCTGATATCATTTTTGTCACGACCTAGCTTGATAGCTAAGAGTTAACCAAGATACTGCGGTCGAACGGTGTTAACATTTAATTAACTTTCTATATTTTTTTAGAAACTTCAAAAAATTCAAAATAGTCATTAAGAATTTAGCAAGCACAATGCACATAAAATCGAAACATCCGGAAATAATAACATAGTATGTACACATCCTAAACCACCATATAATTATATATCACTAAACCTACATAAAACAAATCAAAAAAAAAATTACAATCATATTATAACATGATATATGTCAGTTGTAGTCTTGTAAACTAAATCCCTCAAGTTACACATCAATCTACAAATTGTCTTTTCTTGAGAAAATACATTGAATTCAACAGCAAGTATTTATGATTTAGTAGGCAATTCTAATCTTAATATGCATTAAGTTCATATACAAGTGCTATATATAAATGAATAAAAAAAAATTAATTCATTACTTAATAAAACTATAAGCTTTTATTTTAAATTTATCATTGGTCATTTCAATAAGTATTTACCCTTTTTAACATCTTTAAGAAGTCATATCAGGATTATCGTCATACTTAAAGTATCCTGAAAATTCCACTTATAAGTATCGTAAAAAATTTACACTTGAAGGTATAAATTTACCATTTTCTTTTATCATGCATACGTGCATTCTCTGTCAATACCAACTTGGAGTAATCATTTATGACTTAAGCCTTCATATTTCATCTCTTCTAATTAGCACTTTTTAAGGTCATTCATTAATAAACCATAATTTCATATATACAAGAAAATAATTACTCGCCTGAAGCCTAAATATTTTTCTCTTTCTTTGGATTCCTCTTTTCTTATTTTTCAATTAATAGTCGTTGCACCTTTAAATCAACACGCCTAATTAAAACACATAATTTCCTAAAAGTAATAATTAATAATCAACAGTAATTTAATTTTGTAAGAATTTTATGATTAAAAATACTAACAACTTTTAATCTTAAAATTTTTTCTTCTTCAAATCTCAAGGAATGCCTCACCTCCTGAATCTACATGATATATGTATATATATATATATATATATATATATATTTTATGATTAAAAATGTAACCCAAACATACCTCTCTTTGGTCGGCTGACTCCCCCCTCCCCTCTCTCGCCCAGCCTTCTACCAGCCCACGCAAGCCTCATTTCCTTCCTCTTCTTCTTCACACAGAACAAAACCACACTGTTATACTCAACGCTGACACCTCATTCACGCAAGCAAACCCTTCTCTTCTTCCTTCAAGCTGCTCTTCGCAAGTCTTCTCCCCCTCCTCCTTTCTTTGTGCACAGAGGTTTACCACGCTTACCTCTTCGCAAGTCTTCTCCCCCTCCTTTCTTTGTGCACAGAGGTTTACCACGCTTACGACACCGCTCTAAGCATGCAACAACGACTCCTCTTTTGGCGTGCTATGTCATGAAAGGTTCCTTTCCAAAAATCAATGATCTTCCTCTCCTTCCTCTCAATCCTCTACTACCTTCGAGCACAGAACGCACATGTCTGCTTTCTTCTACACACGAGATGAGCCTCACACTCATCGGCATAATTTCCTTTGTCTTCGACACATCCCCTCTTCTTCTCTGCAGAACAGCAAGGCCACGAAATTCCCGCAATTGTTCCCTATTCATGTTGTTGCTGGCTTCACACGAAAGCATGAGTTGTACCATTCTCTCCCCCTTCTCCTCCTCCTTTCTCTTCCTTCCTTTTTCTTCTACCATTGCTTCCTTCTCTCGATGTCACTACTCTCCCTCTCGCTCACTTTTTCAAAAAGGGATTTACGACTCTCAAGTCAATTATTAATATTAATATTATTATTAATTTCTTCTCCTTTATTATTATTTTTCAGTTATAGTTGTTATAATATCAGTTAAAGTGTTTCAATATTAATATTTTTGTTTAATTATGTGTACAAGTATCTTAACATCTCCGACTAATACCATAAGAGGTTAACCACATCAATTAATATGAACATACAATCATTACAAAATTATTATTATTCACATTTTCATATCATTCAGTACATAATATAAATATAGATATAGATATATCTATGACTTTTTTTTCTTTATTACTGCATTGTGTAGAAATATATTTAATGGTCTTTTTAATTGGAAGACAAGTTTATCCCTAAATCTTAAATATTTAAATTTCATTTCATTTAATAATATTCATCATCCGTGATCCTTAAAATTTACTTCTAATAACATTTAAAATCTTAACTAAAATTCCTAGCTATATATCATAAATATAATCAATGAACCCTCAAAATTCTTAAATGTACTTGAAGATAAATTTCTAAAATTTCAATCGTTCTTATTATTTAGACTCTTATAAAATTTTTACATTAAAATATTGATCCTTCAAATTTCACTAAGTGAATATTAATCATAAAATATTAATCAGAAATTTACACCAATTCTTATGAATTTATGTATCTCACACCAAAAACTTAGATTTTTACAAACACAACAACTTATCTATGCATGAAAATGTGAATTTCACCGCTCCATGCTGTTGAAAAGTGTGAATCGAGTGATGTGATTGTAAAGATGAGAGTTTTGGTGCGAGATATGTAAATGGATAAGAATTGGGTGCTGTGGATGTAAATTTCCCAATATTAATTTAACTTTCTAGTAATCATATGTAAATTTTATCTTCTTAATTAATGTTTCGAGATACATGAACTATACATGTAATTTAGCTATCAATCACTCCTCATTAATACATATTATAAATATAGAATATCAACATAACTAAAAAGAATTCAAACCTCATTGATAGCGCACGGCTTCTTTTGCTTGAAAATATATTTTTGCCCTGTACTCATCACGATTCGATGTTCGATCTCATACATATAGATGTCCCACTCCAACCTTCCTATATGCAAGAAGAGACTCACTCGTCTTGCATGCACACGAATTCGCCAATGGGTTCCGCCTCATGCTCGATTGTTCATGAAAAGCTACAATAGGTTCATAGTCGCCAATCGCACACAAACTGCTCGAGCATCATGATCGACCCTCTCGCCCTCACATATTCCCTTGAATATCCGTTCGTCTGTGTTCATCCCGATTCGCATGGTAACACCTTCCAACTCCATCAAGGTTTACACCCAAGGTCTACACACTACACCCATCCGTAGCCCTTCCTCTTTCCCACGCCCGTGTCTCACTCCAATGCAACTAATGCATGTCTTGCTCGAGACCTCTTATAATGACAAACCGAACCCTTCTTGCTCGCTTCATCTCCTATTGTTCAACCCTCATTTTCTATTTTTCAAAATAAACTGGAACTGATGGTTCCAAATTTCTAGATGTAACAAGGAGATATAAATAAAATTTTATACCTTTTCTATCATGTTGTGGCTTTCTTTTGCTTGAGCATCTATTAGTTAATGCCCTTTATGTGCTCTATTTAATGATATTGGCTTCAATTAAAAAAACAATAAAATAAACAAAAATAAAGCCAAGGAGTGCAGGGGAAAAGTGCTGCTATGGGAATTTTGCTAGATCCTACCAACTTCTAATAACCAATGTAATGAAATGTGAAAAGCAGAAATCTCGAGTTTGACAAGTAAAAGAAATCAATTTTTATACAATGCTCTTATGTGAATAAGGTTCAACATAGAGTTCTAGGGAATGTTGCTGGTCTTATACGAATTCTACTTTAGTCAGCAGAATTCAACATAGAAACTTCTTATAATAAAATGAGAATTCAATTTTTAAACATGTAGTTCTTCCTCGAGGAAGGAGATTACAACAGTGAGCCTACCAAGATGCAATAACATACCTGGACAGAAATCTTCTTTAAGGACGAATCCTCTGAAAAAGGCGATAGCACTGTCATTCCTCGAGGAAGTTTAGTATCAAACATCTTTATGGCCAATTGAAATAGTTCCTCAACATCATCTGAATTTAAAGTTTCTATGCCAAGCTCCCTATATGATATCGTCAGGTAAAAAAAATATAAATCCATTGCAAATAACCGCAACAGAAAAATTCACCAACTCTTGTATTAGCAATCCATGATGAGTTCTATTAACAATGCTTGTATTAGCTTCACACAAATGGGTGCCAAGAAGAGATTTTCAAAACAATAGTTCAATGTGAAAGTCAAACCTGTAACTCTGGGCTGCCTTTGTAGGGTTCTTGTCTGCAATTGCAATAACAAGGTTGGCAAAACCTAATCTTAGGTTATCTGGAAGATTTTTAACTTGTCCATAATCAAGTAAGGCAACCTTGAGAAATAATGAAACAGATAAGTACGTCCAAAGACAATTGAAAAGGTTATAAAGCCTGCAATCTGTATGTTTTAGCAAATGCATTTCACAATAGAAGAGATGATTTACATTTAAAATGAAATCCTAACTATAAAAAAAATGAAACAAACAAAAAATAGATTGGTGCTTTGTAATGTGTCCAGTATGAAGCCATGACTTTCCTACATCGTGTAGAGACCATTGTCAGAGGAACATTCATTGTCATAAATGAGGCTTGCCAATTCATTCAATCAAACTCATCAAATGGATCGTCATGCATGCCTTCTGTGTATCCCCTCAAAATTCAGTACAATTGCTGCATAAGATGTATAATGTTTCACACACACCCGCATTGTAACTAATAGAGGAGAAGAATAGGGCTCATAAGGTGTATCTAGACAAGCAATTATTTGCATCTTTAAATTCAATAAAGGAAAGGAAAAAAGCAATTACTTTACGTTAGACTTGTGAAAATTGGTAATGCAAACATAGAAGTTCAATATGGAATGAATCGAACAGTGTATGCTTAACAAAGTTTCCTTTCTCAGTTAAATAAATCTCTAAGGCAGTCTAGTAAAATTTCCAATCCAAATGATGTTAAGTTTCATTGCAATGTCCAAGAAGCCAGAGCAAGCTTACTGAAATTTCAAAGCACAGATTAAATAACACTATGCTTGAAATCATAAATCATGAAAATTGTACTAAATCCAGAGAAGTTTCAGTGAAATTGGCAGGAGTCCTAGGCACAGATATGTAACATCTTTGGTCATTCATGAATGATATGAAATAAATCTTATTGGACTAAACACTAAAATACAAACCCACCAATATTAATTATTCAAATTGCTCATTAGCTAGATACACACTTGATGTTGCATACATTCCACTGGATAGGACTATGCAAACCAGTTGTCTCAACATGCACTAAGAGTGCATGATAACATCACATTGCTTGCAGCATTAGCATCAGCGCGTAATGAGGCATTGTACTATCTCATCTACAAACCTTTGCAAATTCCAACTTATATTCTCAACAGCACAAAATATCAAAGATGTCTCTGTTTAGTAAAAGAAAAAGGCTCTGATAATTGTACCAAGCTGTATAATTCTAGCCTAATCAAACTATGCAGTAATGGAATTATAATAGCTGCTTGAACGCATAGCCTCGGTTATATATTTCCAATAATGATACAGCTTAGCAGCAAACATGCGATCCATTTTAAGATGTAAAACTAGCTAGGGTTCATTTAAATCGAGCAGTAGACTAAGGCAATGTTTCAGGCTTGATGATTGCAGGAGTCAGTTTTAAAATGGGTGGAGAAGCACATGCATTACCTAAGCTGCAAGCAATTCCTTATATTCATACAATAATATCTATAAATGGATTAAATTCATGTATATGGGTATATACTTCCAGTAACATGGGATCAAAGAAGATGCATCATCTTATACTAGACTCATAAGCAACAAACTTGCCTTTGAATCCTTGCAGATAAGGATATTTCCTGGATGTGGATCTGCATGGAAAAACCCACTCTTCAATATCATTTGACCATAGGCAAGTGTCAGGTTTTCCAAAATCTTTCTGCATTCATAAAGAATATAACTTCATATTTCAGAAGAAAATAAGAGTGTAACCAAGATACCCTCGTACACAGGAATGAACAATTTGAAGAATTATTGAAAAACTAAAGAAGTTTCTGTTCTGTAAAATTCATGAATTGACTTGTCCTTCCTACATCAGTTGAAACAAGGACCTCTGCATTCATTAACCACATTAGTTGGTTAAATAACATACGGTAGTTTGCATCATAAAGAGAACCTGGGAAAAATAATCATCATAAAATCACATTGCCCAGTTTCTTTTGTTTAAAGCTTCATATTATATAAAGGTAAACCTTAAACCGTGAAAGCAAATTACTAGGCTACTCTCTAGCTAACTGTAAATGCACACCAAGGCTTCATGGTTAAGTTGATTGTTATTATGTAGAGTGAAAATGCACATGATTCTTTGCTTCCACGTTCACATTAAGTTAGTTATACCCTACTCTAATGGTAAAAGTTATCATAATACGTTCATTATATAGAAGAAAGGACATCCTTGAAATAGAAACCACTTTTAATCGAGTTTTTGCATCCTAGCCATACAAACTTAAAACATACTACAAAGAACGTTACTACATAATAAAGCTTTTTCGAATTCATTTTCTCACAGGCGCATACAGCAAAGTAACAAAATGAGCAAATATAATTTCCATTTTAAGGTATTGCTGCAATTCATTTAAAATGCCTATGAATAACATGCAGTAATGGGTCAGCTTCTATTGTGTCAGATCATTCTATTTAAATATTTAATTGGACTCGTGATCTATACATGAAAATTTCAATAATCATTCAATACAATAGTAACCTCTAAATATAAAGGAAAAAAACCTATATTATTAAAGGAATTCCAGCAATCCTTAAAAATAAAAATTGAATGACTTCTGTATCACGGGATTTTCATGATAACTTAGAAACACAATCTTGTGTAATAGAAGAGTTTCAGGAAAATTTAAACATCAATATTAGAACATACAAAAAAATGCATCCTACTTTAAAGAAGGATTTGAGGTACAACACTTCATGATTACCAGTTTCTGTGTAATACTTCTTTAAGTATCAACTATTAAATGATGATATTTGTCGAAGACAATTCAAATTAATGAGTTCAAAAGTTACTTCTTGGAAAGCTTTCAGATGACAAAAGGGCTTCACATTTGAGGTCAAATTTTCATCAATTCATTGATGAGAAATAATTGGTCTTCTGAGCACCATATTAATTCTCCTTTCAGGCCGTGTATAAAATTGTTCAATACAAGGTGCACCATTAGCCTCGCCCTGTGTTTTTTACATAAAATATCAATGAGAGTTATGCGCTTCGCAGCACCTACTGTCAATTCAACTGCACGTGTGCCTCCTCCTTGCTGACACACACCTTCTTCCGCTTCTCGAGTTGATTGTTCTCGTCAGCCCAATCTTGCACGGCCTCGCTAAGAGCATGTTTGTGTGTCGCTCAGTCTGCTAGCACTCACCTCATTGTCACCCCCTTTTGCCTAGATTTCACGAAGTCGAAGCCATTCGACTCACATAAGGATTTGCACCGCTTCTTAAGAATAAACTGACCGACATTAGCTCATTTGAACCGACACTATTCAATTTAGATTCTTTTTTTATTGGGGAGTGTAAGAAATAATCAAAAAAAATTAATATAAATTAGAAATATAATTACCCACCTTAGCATCACTTTAAAGGGCCAATCTTTAAAAAAATTGCTTCATGTTGTCAATAATTCCCACCTTGATCTCTCTCTTCTTAAATAATCGTTAATTAGGAAATAATTTATTCCTATTAGAAGTTATGAGGATTAGATTTATTTTTCTAATATAATTTTACTTCTTTTCTAATTTTAGACTTTACTATTTTATGTTGTTTCCTTTATCATCAAATAATTAAAATGAATTGATGGATTGGAGATATTAGATGTTATATTTTTATTTTCCTATTTTTTTCTTTATATTGTCTATCCTATTCTAGGATTCATATAAAGTTTATTTATATCATTTTTCATATCATTAAAAAAAATCCGTATTATTTGGAATTTCAATGTGGTAACAGAGATAGCAAATAAACCCTATAGTATCCTGCCGCCGGAAACTTCCTATTCCTTACAGTCGACAATCTTTGTCATGTTGTGACCCTTCATAGGATCGAACTCTAGCGGCTGCCGGAGCATCTA